AGGAGTAAATAGAGACCGAGGCTTAGAGTTGTCTGCACTGGAAAAACATGTACTAATAGCCCTCTGGTTTTCTTGCCATTGTGAGGCTGTGGCTCGCCCTGGACAGGGATACCCCCAACATGCCTCTGGAAACAAGTTGCACAGCTCAGCTCCTGACTCCCCCCCAAACAGAACATTCCCATGTTCAGACTGACTTGGACTCGGCCCATTCTCACCCAAGTTGACTTGGAGTCGTGAAAAATGACGTCAACTCAGAGCCTGGCACCACTGAGGCGACACAAGCTCCATCAAAAGGCGGGAAGTCTTCACTTGCTGGAACCCGGCACCAGTTTTCAAGTTCAATAATGTTCAAAACAGGTTCGGTCAACCATCAGCAAACTGAGCTCTTCACCTACCATCGTTCCATCTATCGGCAAAACAACTGAAATCATTCTGAAATAACTACCTTGGTCGTTCGCGTACGTAGCCCAGGCTTCCAGGCTTCCCCACCACCAACGCTGCGAGGCCCGCCTGGCCCACAGCCGCCTGGGCCATGCCCTCGGCACTGGACCTGTCCGGCTTTGAAGCAGGTGATGCAAGCAGACTGGCGAACTGGCGACTGGCGCATTGGCCAATTGGAAAGGTCGGCAGCTCCAAAAACCGATTGGATCATCATGGATCATCTATTCAATTCTATTCATGACGTCATTCACCTGGGCAAAAGGTTGACACTGGAAGAAGGAGAATCTCAACATTCGTTCCTCCGCCCAAGCGTCCAGTTCAGATTGGAACGAGTTTTCCTAAGGTTTCTACGTATTAGGATGTTTTTCCTGTATCAAGGTCCATCCTCCCGAAATCGAAGACGGATCCAGCTCGGAACGTTCACATCCACACGGCCAGGGTGAGGGCCACCAGGGCCCACGTGGAACTCATTGGGAGCAGAATTTTGGCCATTTTCTGCGTCGGAATGCGACTCTAACGAACTTGGTGTGGCACCCCTTGACTTCAATTTCGTCCAAAAGCCACAAATGCTTCGATGGATGGCCTGGCTTTGAAACATCTGAATGCCACGATCGCTGTTAGTTTTGTTTGTCTTTTCCAAATCCGTGATAGGAGCAAGGGTACTTCATGGGCCACCACTGTGGGCCACAAACAAACAATTGACAGAGCAGCCACTTAGCAAAAAGAATCTCAATGCCCTCAAAGGCATCCCCTTTGCTCAGATTGACCAGGCCATGAACATCAAGCACAAACAGTTGATTGCAGCACGTCTTGCACGTGACAGGGTTGCCGGGGTTGCGCTGGCCAGCACGTAGTTGGAACCCCGCCCGTAACGGATCGTGGTGTTTTGTGCCTTGTTTGACAAAAACACCGTACGGCTTCCTATCCAGATCTAACACAAAAATGATGACAGCGGTAACCGAGGAAATCTGAGGAACATAGGATTGCAAGAAATGGGCACAAGACGAAAACCATTCAACAAAAACATCCTTTAGGCTGACAATTGGCAACAGCTGGTGGTTTCCATGGAAAGCATGTGTATATGTATGCCAGTCATTTCGCACGTTTTGCCAGGCTTTAAACCAAACCTGCCAGTCTCTGGATCTGCATTTCTTCCCCTCGCCAGACACCTCCCTCGCCAGACACGTCGCCTGGGAGCTCCACCCTCTGAGGCCAAGCGGAGCTTCAAGTCGTCGTTCTCCTCGACGAGTCGGCTCGTCGCTCTTCACCACGGGGATCGTCGAGCCGAGCCACACAGCTTCGGCAGCTGGTAGCTGGTACCCCTAAGACCGATTCTACATCCATGGTCTTTTTCTGTAACGCTTGCCGACTGCAAGAGATGAGGGGCTGGGAAACCCAGGTCGATGAGCTTGTGGGGCCCTTCGTTGCTATTCGATGGTGTTCGTGTGGCGGTTCCCTCAATGAAGGGGCACCGCCCAACTTGGACCGTCGAACTCGAGGTTTTTTTCATTTTTTTTCACCACTCGAACTCCGCCACTCTGACCACCTGCCGCACAGAGTGGAGGCTCTCCAAGCCTGTTCACATGGACCAGTCAGTCATTCCAAGCCTAGGTACACAAGTTTCCCCAGTGTCAGTCCTCCTCCAAATGTTGTTTTTTGGCCTTCATCTGTGCGAGCTCCGCTTGCAATTGCCCGCAACGAGCCTGACAGGACCAACGAGCGGAAACAACCAAATCGGATAAGTAAAAGGTCAATGCATCAATGGGTGGAACGACATCCACAGCTTTGGACACAAATCGACAGCTCGAGTCAACAAAAACCGTTTGGTGGCCATGGTTGTCCTTTACGGTGGCCATGAGGAGAGACTCCGAGTTTAACTCTTATCGGTCTACAGGGTTGTGGCAACGTGCAACATGTCTTATCGTTTTGAAGGGTTTGTCCATTCGCAACATCTCCGATTGTTTCACAATTGGCCACATGACTGTCAACCTGCACATTCCTCCCAGGAGCACTTGCAAAACTCAAGAGCTCACTTTTCAGCAACTCTCACTGCAAGAACATGCTATCATGTGGACTTCAAAATGGACAGGTGCTCACAAGAAGGGTTTTGTATGCAAAAGGTTACCGTTTTGGACCCCATGATGCACACTCAAGGAGCAAGCAAACAGCCACGAGAATGAATGAGCACCTGACGCTACTATAGGTGTTATAGGAATTCTAGAAAACAAAAGGGCCTGCAAAGATTAACAGTGCAGCACAATGAGAGCAATAAGCATCTACACAACAGCAATCATGTGGCTCCCAATGGCATTCAACATCACAAAACCGCACGTCAAGGAAGGCAAAGCAATCCAAGTCTGTTGGACAAGTCCAATCCCTTCAACCTATCAACCACACGCGGCCCCACCCACTAATAAACATATCATGGTTAAGGGGAAACATGTTTTTACGGGAAGGAGTTCCTCGGAACCATGGACTCGGTCTAGTCGACGTTGTCCCCCCTCCGGGCCGGTATGGTCCGACGGAAAGGAACCCACAAATGGCCGTATACCGAATATAGGCATATATAGGCGCATTCTAGTATTCAGAATTCAGACATTAAGGCAGTAAATTAAATTACAAAGAAAGGAAGCTGCTTTTAGTAGCGGTTTCCAACATTAGTTTGCAGATAGGTACCAAGAAGGTAGATAATTAGCCTACGTATGTTGCAGAAATATGCAGACGTATCATCTCCTGCTCCTGCGTCTGCATGAACTTGTGCATGTGTGTTTGGATTGCACCACTATATGCTAAGAATTTACAATGTACAAGTATGTAGTATGTATAGCAGTGTTGTTTCCCGAAGGACCGCTGTAGAGGTACCCCCTAGCTGGCAACACACAGCATGTCCAAGACATGTTTACGTCACATCCACTTTGCAGTGGTAGCAAGCATGGAATTGTCCACCCGAAGTCCGAAAAAGTCTCTGAGGCCCCTGGCCGCTAGCTCACTGGCCTTGCAGGGTCAGCTTCGGTTCCGAAAATAACTTAATTGCACGAATCCCTTCACAGGCCTTCCCCACTGAGTTCCGTCACAGTGGAGTCACCTTTTTTGCTTTTCCATGCTGTTTCAATGCGGAGATGTAAACCCTTCCCCGAGGACAAGATGATGAACATTTCAAAGAAACATGATGGTCTTGATAATCTTCTCCCCGAGTCAAGCAGCGTCCAGAATCCCAGAATCTCGTGGAGGTGAATCCTGCTAACACTAACACACACTTACTAACACTTATAGTTTAAGTGTTAGTGTAGGATATAAAGACACTTACTAACACTTTGACCCTGCTAGCTGCTACGGCTGCTATGGGTATATCCGTCCATCAGGAGAGTCGCTTCATCCAACGGCGGCTTTGAATCAGTCCAAAGGCCAGCTGACATGAACACCGGTCTCGAACCCCCAAAACGGTGCGTGACAACTCAGAGGTGCAAACATATTCAACGCACCACTACCTTAGTGGGGTGAGCGAAGTATATACTCTACCTCTTCAGAAGACCCTCGATACAAATCAGATTTGAACCTCCCAAATCAGCCAATTCAGCAGACTTAGGGTGCATTGAAGCCTATAATAGCCGACTTAGTTTCCCATGGATTCCATCCAATCAGTGCCTGCACCGTTCCAACACGGTGCCGCCTGCTTCAGCGAACGCGGAGCTGGAGAGCGACTGCCTGTGCAGTCAGTTCCGTCAGGTATGGGCTGTCAGAGTTTGCCACATCACCGAATCTCAACACGTGGCCAATAAACATGTGTTGCATTCAAAGTTATTCTTGGAATGCAGTGATTTCTCACACTGCAATCATCCAGCTCAGCTGTCGATTCTCTTCACGGATGGTGGAATGGTGGAATGCTGCATGTCCATGGTTTTTGGATGGCTCAGATGGGTCTGACCTGGCTTGAGAGCGGTGCCGGGGTCATGTTCGACGGGGTGGTGCCCAGCTCGTTACACCATCCGTTCGCCGTGGACGGTTGGGCACCCCGGAACTGGCACCCTGCATGGAGAAGGCATCCCGAGCGACATGTGACTGCTGGTCAGGCTTCTTTTGTCACAAGAAGAAGCAGTTCAAGCAGTTCAAGTCTGACTTCCAGCGCTTCCGTGACAAGTTGTGGTTCGGTCACTTGATATCCCATTCTGGGAGGTCACCTATAGTCTCTAAAGAGCTTACTTAGAGACTCCAAAGAGGTCACAAACTGAAGGTCCATGGAATTGGAGTTGCCTGTTTAAACATGTTATTGGTGCTGCTCCCTTGTTTTCGTCACATGATGCGTACGCCTTTTTGTGGCCTTTTTGTTGTGCTTTTCCATGATGCGTCACATGGTGCTTTTCCAACTTTTGGCATCTGATCCCAACGAAAAAGACACCCTTTTAGGGTCCAGGACGGTCCATGGTCTCAGCGATTCCCGGACAAACCAGACTGCACCGACCACGTGGCAGTGTCCGGACCCCTGGCAGGTTGGGTGGAAGGGTGGGTCCTCACAGCGGAGCATGTGGTGGCGCTGTTGTTTTTTCACTGGATGAACTGATGCGATGTGAATGCTCCGGACTTGGCAAGTCGGGACACAGCATTGCTGCGCAAGCCGCTTGCGTCGGAATCCGCGATCTGTCAAATGGTCACATGATGTCACATGACATGCGTTATGCACATGGACAGGTGACGCAAAGGGTGAAGAATGGAGCTGGGGAGACTGTTCGTCTCTCACCAACCCCCAAAAAGGGCAGTGCCACAATTGGAATTTGTTGGAACGTTAAGACTTCACGAGAACAATGAGCCTGGTCTCACTAACAACGATGGACTTGGGATGACGAGCTGGTGGAGTTCAGCTCCATCAAGAGCAAGTCCTTGCAAGACCACTTCTGCTTGATGAACATCTCGGTGCCCTGTAAAACGTGGATCACCTGGATGCGGCTTCGAGGCTCTTTGACCCGCTGAGCTACCTCCAAAGGGCTTCGACCTCAGGATATCATCTTCAGTCATGAACAACAATGAGGGCCGAGGGATTGAATGAAGCTGCAGCTATAGTATTGTATATACATTCTACATGATTGAGAAAGAATGATGACATGTTCCTTGCTTCCTCAACCCTGCCTTTGGAGGTTTCTTTCGTTCTGTCTACACCCTCCCGCAGCAGCAACTTCACCAGCTGGGGCTTTCCCAACTTCGCTGCCAAATGGATCGGGTAGAGCTCTTCCGTGCCACCGCAAAGGGCAAAGCCGCGCTGGAAGCAATGGAACGTTTTTGGCGAGTTCACATCCTGAAATCCTTGGACTTGCTGATCTGAAAAGTAAATTTGTCAACAGTATCAGTCGTTGGTCGTTGTCAGATTCTGATTCTGTTTCCCAGAAACGACATGTCCTCTACCAGCAGGGTGAAAAACAAAGACCGAATCTCGAGCAGGAATCGGTGCTTGGACAAGAACCTTTGAAGCTCAGCTTGGTCTGCTTGCTTCGCTTGGAGCCTCTTGAAGGCCCCCGGCGTGATGATGGGGTCACTGTCATCAAGGCTATCCTTCTCTTGGAGTGTCAGGCCACCAAGGGCTGGCGGACAGGGTGGGTCCTCAGAGGGCACATCGACTTCAGGTTGAACTGCACGGATGTTCTTGAGTGGCCCAAGAAGATCCGTCATCACGACTCTCAAGACGTGGCCGCACGGAACCCCGTCTCAGAACCTCCAAGTTGACCAGTTGACCAAATGCCAACTTGAGCCCCGTGTCGTTGGTCCAAACACGGTGACACGGCCATAATGATTGAGTCTTTTATGAAGGCACTTCCTGAAATTGGCTGAAGCAAAGAATCCTCAGTAATGATGCCCACAATCTAACAAACGGATATGAGAGATGTGTGATCAAGGATTTTGGCCTGCCGAGATAGTTGAGTTGAGTTAAACAGTTCTAACCGAAGCCTATTTACATCTATCCACAACCAGTGTGGGAGGGTCTTGTGGTTGACAATTCAAGGCTGTGTTCAACTATCTGACTTGAACGATTGTGTAATCTCTCTTCTACCATGAGGGTTCAATATCAATAACGCAAATCTTAAGTTGCTTGAGACTGGAGAAGTGAGGTTTTTCTGATGTCTTCTTCGATGGTTTTGCGTTTCACTGGGAGGGTTGACAGCGTCACAATTCGGCAAGACGGGCACTTAAATGGACTTCTTTCGATGAGTCTTCCCTGGCCCCCCCACTCCCCTCTTCAAAGAACGGTTGAACTTGGTTCTCGTTTATTTCTGTGTTTTTAGGAGGACTCAGGAATCGCATACTTTGGAGCACAGGTAGTAGTAGTAGTAGTAGTAGTAGTAGTAGTAGTAGTAGTAGTAGTAGTAGTAGTAGTAGTAGTAGTAGTAGTAG